CATTATTTAAGCACCTTTGATAGTGTTTTTGGAAGACTATTCCAAGCTTCAATTTTGAACACTGTACGAGACATAGAACAATAAGGTAGAATCAACATATTGAGGCTATTTTAGCTGTTACTTCTAAGTTTGCACTTTTTATGATTTCTACACCTCAAGATGAACCATTGCATCTTTTCATAACTGGTCATCAGGTCTTATTCAAGACCTGCTAGGGTGGAGATACCCAAACTTAACTGTTGAAGAAGTGATCTGGTCATTATGGTATTTTGCTAAACTACTCATTCTTTGAAACCTGTAGACACAAAACCCTGCAGCGGCACTGCAGAGGCTGCAGGCAGCTTCGCAGGCCAGCGCTCAACCGCTGCACCACCAGGAGAGGCTCTTCCCTTTTTGTCTTTTTGCAGACTGCTGTTTTTGTTGTTTGTTTGTTTTCAGGTAAATCTGTGGTTAAGGTAAAAACAAACAAAAAAAAAAAACATCCTGGCCAGTTCAATGTGAATAGAACTGACTTTCAATCAGACAGTGATCAAGAGTTTGCTTTTGCATGGAAGCAAAGAAAAAGTTATGTCTTGGGCCTCCCCTGGTGGAGCAGCGGTTGAGTGCTGGGCTGTGAAGCTGCCCGCAGCCTCTGCAGTACTGGTTCTATCCCTGGCCACTGGCCAGGGTCTCCCACATGGTACGCAGACCTCCCCTGCCGCACCCACTGCTCCCCTCAGCAGTGTATTTCGTCCATCTGCCTGTTCTGTTCCCCCCTCTGGCTCTGGTGAATTCTCTCATCCTCTTGCGCTTCTGACTGGACCCAGTGCTTGTATAAATAAATAAATAAATCTTTTTAAAAGAAAAAAAAAAATAAAAAGCTGTGTCTTTGAGAAAATGAATAAAACTTTATTTGCAGAAGATATTCCGTGCAGGTTAAATAAAAACTAATAATTGATTGTGTCTATATGATTTAGATCTGTATGTCTTCCCCTTTGTGTCTAATTGTTCTGGCATATTGAAATACACTGCTGAGGGGAGCAACAGGTGAGAAAGGAGAGGTCTGCTGCTCCATGTGGGTCAGCAAACTGGCTGGGGATCGAATTTGTGCTGCAGTGACTGCTGATAGCTTCATAATGCTGAGACTTAACCCCTTGCACCACCAGGGAGGCCCAATAATGAAGATAATTTTAATAAGTTTTATTTGAAATGATGTTTTCAGGGGTCTTTTTTTTGATTCCAGAAAAACTTATTTTTCAGGTGAACATGATGAGCAGAAATGTTAAATTTAATTTTGTGAGCAGAATTAAATCATGCATTTTCTGTTTCCTTGATACCAGCATAATATGGAAAACTGTAATAATTATTATTATTCATGGCAATGTGTCATGAATAATGACATTTGCATAATTTCAAAAGGGAATTTTATTTTTCTCTTCCTAAATTAGATAATTTGAAACATTTTATTTCTAACATTTTGATAGGAATTCCCTCTCAGAGTTGAAATAGATCATAGCCAAGAAGGCAACTTTGCCTGTAGGTTCCAGAGATCTTCAAGGAAGGTAGGGAAAATTGACTCCATTGGCAATTACGAAAGTCTGAGAGAAAAGTCTTGGGTACCTTTAGAAGGAGAAATCTCAGATGACATCTGTTAAGGGTGTGGCCTCGTTGCCCCCAAAAAGTTCAACTTAAGATCCCTTATGGAAAGTTCCAACAATGCCAACAAAAATTCTGCTTGGAAGCCTGCCCTGTGTGTGTGTGTGTCTGTGTGTGTGTGTATTTGCAGACATACTGTGCAAAAAAAAAATAAATTGGAATTAGATTTAGTTAATAAATGCATTTTACTGTATTATTTGATAGAATTGGAATGAAGGTGACGAAATTATTTTAATCAGCAGAAACAATTCTAAGATTTTTTAAAAAGATTTATTTATTTATACAAGAGCTGGGATACAGGTCAGAAGTGTGGGAGGGTGAGAGGATTCACCAGAGACAGGGCGGGGAGCAGAACAGGCAGACGGACCAAAGGCACTGCTGAGGGGAGCAGCGGGCAAGACAGAGAGGTCTGCCACACCATGTGGGCATCTCTCTGGCTGGCCAGGAATCGAACCTGAGCTGCCAAGGCTGCGGACAGCTTCATAGCACTGTGCTCAACCCGCTGCACGACTGGGGAAGCCCTCTTTTTTCACTCTTCTGAGCTTTACCAATATTCTGTTTGCTATATGCTTGGTTAATGTCTGTGGCTTTTTGCTTGGACTGACTGACCATTTTCTAGAAATGGAGGACTTGCCATATTGGAGGTCAATTGACAATGTCTGGTGACCTGATTGTTAATTCCTTTAAATGCGCTGTAACCCCAGAAAAGACAGACTTCTGAGGGTACATCCCAGTATCCCAACTTTCACCACTGAAATGGTAGGAACAGGGCCTCCCTGGCAGTGTAGTTGTTAAGTCTCAGTGCTATCACACTATCACCACTGTGGCCTGAGTTTGATAATTGGCCAGGGAGCTGACCCACATGTTGCAATAGGCCTCTCCTGTCTCACCTGCTGCTCCCCTCTCTGTGTATTTCAGTAGATCCACCTTTTCTGCTCCCCACTCTGTCTCTGGTAAATCCTCTCACCCCCCGCATCTCTGGTCTACACTCCAGTTCTTCTATGCCTACATAAATAAATAATAAAATAAATCTAAAAAAAAATTGTAACAGCAAAGGAAAACTGGGGAATTTGTGGAGGACACAGCAACAGGTGCCATCTTCCCTGCCACCTACATCTCAGAAAACTTTTACTATAACTACCAGCATGCCATGAGCCAGACTTCTTGAACAGTGGGTGCTGCTGCATACTAGTAGTGCAGCATAGTGGCCAGGTTGACCTAGAGAAAGAAAAGACAGGCAGTCCTCACCCTCTTTCTTTTTCAGCTATAACTTACACCTACTGGTAAGACAGAAGACATCTACCCACATGCTAGCCAATTTCTCTCTCTCTGGTCCCCCTCTCCTAACTCCTCTTATAAATAAACCTTCATTTTTTACTTCTCTCTATATCCGCTTTTTGGTCTTGTCCTGAGTTCTTAAACATGTGGGTGAGGACTCACAAACTGGGGCAACCCCTTTTCATTTCTTGGGTTGCCCAGTAGCAATATTGTGCTTACTTAATTTCCTCAAAATCTTTAAGGTATTAATAAAATGAAGCCTACTAGACAAATGAGAAAATTAAGGTCAGAGGGGTTAAAGAGCACTTTAAGGCCACAGGGTTAATTAGTGACTAAATTAGAATATGAAAGCCAGTATACCCATGTCCCCAAAGCCTTTGCTAATTCTATACTATAACATCACTTCATGAATTGGGAGCAGGATGAGGGGGTGTTTATAATCTTTACCTGGCAGGAGTGAGAAAATAAATTGAAGAGCATTAAAGTCTACAGACCTTGGCTTTGATTTTTCCAGAGATAAATTGCCCAACATGGTTACCCTAAGTCTCATGTGGCTATTTAAATTAATTAAAACAAAATAAAATTTAAAATTCATTTTCTTAGTAATATTAAACATATCTCAAGTGCTCAATAGCCACAAATGCCTGATTAGTTCCTATTCTGTTGAAGAGTTCAGATATTGAGCTTTGTCATTATTGCAGGAAGTTTAATCGGGTAGCACTGCTCTAAAGAAACAAGAATTTTTAAAAATTTATTTGTATTTATTGATGTATAAAGAACTGGGGTATAGGCCAGAGGTGTGGGGGGTGAGAGGATTCACCAGAGATAGAGTGGGGAGCGGAACAAGAGGATCTATGGTAATACACTGGTAAGGGGAACAGCAGGCGAAACAGAAGAGGTCTGCAGCGCCATTTGGGTCTGCTCCCTGGCTGGGCACTGAACTCGTGCTGGACTCATATTGAATTCATGCTGCAGTGGCTGGCCATAGCTTGATATGCACTGAGACTATAACCCCTGCACCACCAGGGAGGCCAAGAAACAAGATCTTTGAAAAAGGTTGGAACTAAAGTAATGACTTCAGTCAAGAATCTGGTACCACTCAACAGGTTTGGGGAACAGAAATATGACCTGACCCCTCATCTGGAAAGATGGTTATAAAAATATTTAGAGTTGAAGCCAGTGAATGAGTGTGTGCGTGTGTGTGTGCATGTTTGTGTGTTTAATCTTTTTAAATCATTCTTTTGTACATTTCTCATTGTTTTTTCCATCTGTTTAGAAAAATGGTGTTTGAAAATGCCAACTTGTCTCTGCTGAATTCAATGAAGTGTGAGGAAAAGGTTTTTCATCTCATTCATATCAAGGAGACTGAATGGAAAAAAAATTGGGAATGCGGAGCCACAGATCCTGAGGAGCAAAGTGGCAAACAGCAGGGACTAATACTTGTTCACCCTGTCTTTATCTCCAGTATGTCTGGAGATATAGCTTTATCTCAAACTCAACCAGTTTTCTAAAAGTGAGGATTTCTAAAAGTAGAAGATCTGCACCATCAGTATCACCAGGGATACTTGTTAAATATAGAGATACCTGTGCCTTTTCCCAGACTAAAAATTTACAACATTGAGGGGGGAGAGAGTTGAAAAGGAGTTGGGATCTGCATGTATAACAAGCTTCCCCAGGGACTCTGGTGCACATATTTGTGAACCACTGGCATGAAGGGAGATGTGTTTTATTTAAATAATGAGGTCAGACCCTTACATATGGTGGCAACAACTGGAGCAGAAGCTAAGAGGATATGTGTAGAAATTAAGGGGGGGAGGAAGGAAGTATAAAAAAGGGTAAGGAGAGGCATAGGGAGAGATGAGAGAGAAACAGAGCAAGAATTAGAGAAAAGAAGAGAAACAGAGAGACAGAAAAACCCCAAGAAAACAGTTTTGTCCACTAGACAGAAATTAGGAGCCCGTCCAGCTGTACTTATTAACATCTTGGGATTGTCACAGGTAGAGTCCATATGGTTTGTTGATTTTCCATTGAAATGCCCTCTACCCTACACTGAGTTCAGTCACATGCACTAACATAACAGGGCCTACCTCACAAATGTCTTTGAGATGCTTGATGTAATGACGCTCAGTGCTCATGATCTCATTGATGACATTGGCTCGCATCTGGTCCCGGTTCTGGAGTGGCCGGCCCAGACAGAGGCAGTCTGAGTTGGGATCCAAGTGCCCATTTTGCATGTCACTGGATCCTTCTTCCACCCCATCCTCCTGGTTCACCCAAAGCTGTGGAAGCAAATAGAAGAATAATTAATTAGTTTCTTTCTTTGAGAAATTTCAGCCCAGTAGGAAAAGTATAAACTAAAATCTTCAGGTATTCAGAGAGCCTTCAACTGGAGGCCCAACTATAAACAGAATGGCATGCCTAGCTCTAGGGTGACATGCTGGCCCTAGACATGAGTCCAATTCTCTACACTTCTGCTGACCTATCTGTAAAATAGAGGATGGAGAATAATTTCCAAATTTTTGTTGGCTAAAAATATTTCAGAGGAGAGAATTATGGTAAGCAGAACTCATTCATGCTGGAACATATACAGGCAGCACAGCTGCACTGAAAAATAAGGATTAAGTATACGTCTTGGGTGCCCCAACTGGATTGGTGCCACAAACCATAGTACCTACCAGCATGGAAGCTAAAGCTTGATACTGGAGTGGACAACCCCAAAACAGGCCATTTTTATTGATTCCTATCAAAGGGTGTACAAATAATCATTAAAATTTGAGTGTAAAATTCCTTGGATATGCAAGGATCTCTAATTCCTTGAGGATGGAGTGGGAATGACAGAATGTTCCCCCACCATATAATAGAAATAGTTGTTGTTTGAACACTTACTACACACCAGCCATTATGCTAAGATATTTCAATAAACTCTACTATTCAAACCTTCTATGTAGGTAGGTACCATTATCATCACCACTTCACAGAAGAGGAAACTGAGGCTCAAAAAAGTTAAGGAATTTGCTTCAAGTCACACAGTTAAGAAGCAGAGGATCTGGGATAGGTGCCAGGCAGTGTGTAACTCCAGAGCCTGTGCTCTTAAACACTGTACTAATTTTTTAAATTATTAATTAATTAATTTATATTTATTTTACATCATTGATCATTTTTTTTTACAATGTTTGCTTTCTTTTCTCAGGTGTAGTCGCCATAGAATTTCCACCACCAATTCACCAGTGCACCATCACCATAGTCCCTTGTGCTCTTCCCACCCTCATTTTGATCACTCTCTCTCCCCCTCCCCAGCTGAATATCTCTGATTTATAGTTTTCTTTTTTTTTTGTTTTGTTTTCTTGTGTTTTTTATTATTATTATGTTTTCCCTGACACCTTATTTGGTTCCCCTATATTCCTCCTATAAGTGAAACTATCCGATATTTTTCTTTTTCTATCTGACTTATTTAACTGAGCATAATCCCTTCTACCTCCATCTATTTTGCTGTGAATGGCATTAGTTTATATTTTTGTTTACGATTTATTTATTTATTTATACAAGCATTGGGTACAGTCAGAAGTGCAGGAGGGTGACAGAATTCACCAGAGCCAGAGTGGGGAACAGAACAGTCAGATTGACAAAATACACTGCTGAGGGGAACAGCGGGGGTGGCAGGAGAGGTCTGCTGCACCATGTGGGACCCACGCAGGCGGCCGGGGATAGTTTATCTTTTTTGATTGCTGAATAATTTTATGTGAGACTAGAAATAATTAGGGAAGGGCTTGGGCCAAGGTGAGGTGATGAATGGATAATTATTAGAATCATCAGAAATGGATAGAGTTGGGAGAAGTTGAAACTATTCAATCCAAATCATGAAGGCAAAGAGATGCATAAAAACCTCTTCTGGGGAAGCTGGGTGAAACGTGTTTGGATGAAGGATAACTTCTCTTAAATATGCCATCAGGGAGAAGGTTTATTTCACCTTAGGCTTTGAAGGCAGAACACTGGGGTGGAGGGTGCAGAGAAAAAAAGGAAGGATAAGACTCTGGGAATAGTGGTAAAATCTTCTAGGGGAAAGTAGCCAAAGAGCTTTCCAGTTGTCTAAATAGCTTTAATCAACAATCTATCTCTCCCCTCTTCACCCTCCAACTTTTTCCACATTCATGCCTCAAGAATATAAGTTCAGAGGGGGCGGAGCAACAAGGCGGCGAGGAGATGCTGCGAGTAAGATCTCCCATTAAAAAAAGTTAATAGGGAGGAAAAGCGGCAGGTCCCAGTGAGAACTGGGACACGGAAGATAAACGGGTGACTCCAGCAAACTGCCCGAAGAAGAAAGTTGCCATAAAAGAGGACTAGAAGGGAGGAAAGCGCAGAACCCTGCTCTCCTCCCGCGCCCACAAAGTCGGCACTCTCCGACCAGCAGAGAGGAGGAAAAAAACAAACTAAAACGACCAACAAGAACAAACTACGCAGCAAGCGGGACTGTGAGTGGAAAGGAACTATTGCAGCCACCACACCCCGTGAACGGGAGCTATGGAGAACCCTGCAGGATTCCCCGCGGTGGTGAGCAAACTGCTCAGGGCGCCATTAGAGAACAAAGAGACTCTGGAGGAGACCTGCACACAGCCCCGGACCAGCCGATAACCTTGCGCTGAAAAGTGGCGCACTTGGCGTGCTTAAAAAGCAAACGCAGATCTGGATCAAGGCTGCCCGGGTCCCCGCGCCTGCGACCTAGGCTTGGGGGGAGACTCGCAGAGGCCCTCACTGAGGTGAAAGTCCCTCACTGAGTAAGCAGGAACCAGGTGCCCAGGCAAGGGAGCGGGGTGCAAAAGGCGCCATTCCCGCGCCACTGAACTGGGCTACAGCCAGCGTCCTGGACCTGAGGGCTTTGGAACTGAGACCCGGGGCATGGAATTCGGGGCGTGGGTTCCCCACGACGGTGGGGCACAAGGCAGACACAGCACCCCAAAGCCGTTGAGGTTTACCCTACCAATCTCGCTCTGTTCCCTGTCCCAAGGGGGGTGCATCGAAAAGCAGCCCCCCAAGAACAAAAGGGAGATCTCTGGCGCCACCTAGCGACCAGAAAAAAAGTCACTAACACCCCATAGAACAGGGAAATTCCTTCAGAAAAAACTTCTTTTGAAAAAGGCAGAAGGCTTCTGGAGGACCCAGTGGCCAGCTGGGAAGTTAGCCGACGCCAGCCCCTTCCAACCAGCAGTCTGAGCCCACAGAGAGGAAGGCACCCACATCCGGGACAAA